AATTCTAGCTACTCAAGAGGCTGAAGCAAAAGAGTATTGCAATTTGCTGGGTGTGGTGGCGCACACCTGTAATCCCAGCACTCGGGAGGCTGAGGCAGGAGGATTGCTGTGAGTTCGAGACCAGCGTGGGCTACATAGTGAGTTCCAGGTCAGTCTCAACTACATAGTGAGACCCTGTCTCAAAAAACAAAAAACAAAAAAACAAAACAAAAAGAACCCCCCACAAGTATCGCAATTTTGAGGACAGCCTAGGTTCCTGACTCAAATAAGAAGATAAAAAGGGCTGGAGATACAGATTAGTGATAGAGTGCTTGCCTGGTACTCATAAGCCCTTAGGCTCAATCCCCAGTACATGAGCTCCTGCACTAATGGTGTAATATTCACCAAAAAAATGTAAAAAAAATTTACATTTCTCAGAAAGTCACTGGGTACTATTTTAATGTAAAAGCACCAAATATGAACCATTTTGTGCAAAATAACTATCACTGATTAATCTGAAGGTTATATTTACATTTACCATCAGGCTTGAGTTATCTAAACATACTACTTAGATGTACTGTAACAGTTTCATGAAGAGACATTTAGCAGTCAACTAAAAGCCAAAGTAGTATTAGGTTGTCATGTCACATGTAAAATAGTCTCAAGTATGGATATGAAGATGTGCTTAAAAAGGTTTCCTTAGCAGCATATTCTGTAGAAAGTACTTCATTATAATATTTTTAGGGGAAAATCAGTTTCTCTAAACTCACGGTTATTCCTTTGCTAATAGCTCTGCCTTCTCTTTTTAAAATAGCCAAGGGTTTCAACCAGTCAAATTATTGCCACCTTATTAAACTTTAATAAGTTAAGCTTTTTAAGCCACATAAAAATTTCATCAAGCATTTCTCAATCTTAGGAAAGAGAAGGAGAAAAAAGGTCAAAACATCCCTTTCTGTTTGGAAAGGGATGCTTTGGAAGGAGCCACAAAATAAATGCTAAGAAAGAGTGCCTGTTTGTGGCCTGCGCCAGATGGCGAGTACATTTACTCCTTCATCACACACAGGCCCCACACTGGGTGCTAATTAAAGTACCATCTTCAAATAGCAGACTCCTGGGACAACCAAGAGCTTTATTCAAAGGTCCCTGAATATTCTACAATCAGCCCATTACTACAGGTTTACAAAAACATCAAGAATAGGGCCAGGGATTTAGCACAATGGTTCCACCACCTGCCTCACAAGTACAAGGACCTGAGTTCGATCCCCCGTACCAAAAAAAAAAAAAAATCAAGAATAACATTTCAGAGTAGCTTCTAATTATTTTACTTTCAGTGTTTCATATGGAGACTTTTTTTTTTTGCTTAGAGACAGGGTCTTGCTACGTACTTCAGGCTGGCCTTGAACTCACTATGTAGCCTAAACTAGCCTCAAACTTACAGCAATTCCCTTATTTTAGCTCTGGAGTGCTGGGATTACAGGTCTGTACTATCGTGCCTAGCTTATGGGGACATACATTTTAAAACTCTTTAACTTAGTTTTTAAAGAAAGTTACATAGTATAACATGGAGACAAGAGGTGGGCTATTTGAGGATCTTAGCCTTGAGGAATGAACACAAGGTGCTGAGCTCCCTGCCTTCCTTATAGGCTCCCATACATTCCATACAACAAGAGGGCCTCCAACCAGTAACTGCCAAAATGAACAGACAAACCAAGGAAAGGCTGATTTTCTTAGTTAAAATACTAGGAAAAGGGTGGCCTAAGATCAGAAAGCTTTTTGGGCTGTATCAGTTCCACTCTAGGCAAATGCCAAGCGGAAAATCACAGTCCTTCTCCCACCCTGGTTCCACCAGCGCCGGCAGGGCAGATCAACTCCCACCTCGCTCCTCACGAAGGCACATTCAGTGCACAGATCCAACTAACAGTCTGTGAACATTCCACTCAACAGCAGAACACACAGTTTTTCAAGACCCACAAGACAGTCACCAAGTTAGACCATGTCCTAGACCAGGGACGGTGAGTCTTTTAGGGACTGAGTGCTACATACAGCCTTTCAAACCCACCTATTTATCACAAAGCACCAACGCTGCAATTAAACCTGAATAATGAGGTTTTAGTTTAGAAAAAACTACTCTACATTAACGCCTTTAGTCTTAAAAAGAAAAACACAGTAAGTAACATGCATGCCGTAGGTTTGCCACCACTGTCCTACATAATAAAACAAATGTCAAGAAATAGATTAAAATTGAAATTAAAGTGTTTCTGTGATGGTTAAAGGAAGCTAGAAATCAATAACTAAAATAACAGCAAAATCTCTAAAGTAGAAATTGAACATGCTTAATACTTAGATCAAAAAGATAAAAGAAAAAAATGTAAAGAGCTGAAAGAAAATATATGTTTAAAAAGTATGGTTTACAGCTAAAGAAGTGATGATAATTTATAACACTAAACATTTTTTTTTTTTTTTTGGTACCAGGGATTGAACTCGGGTCCTTGCTCTTGCAAGGCAGGCCACCGAACCCCTGAGCTAAATCCCCAACCTATATTTATAATTGAACCTGGCTTTTGTTTCTGTTTTTCTTCCATGGTAGCAGGTTTTTTTTTTTTTTGGTAGCAGGGATTGAACTCGGGTCCTTGCTCTTGCAAGGCAGGCCACCGAACCCCTGAGCTAAATCCCCGGCCCAGAACTAAACACTCTTAATAGAAAAGAGGAAAGATTTTAAGTAAACAAAATGAAGACCTAAACCTAAAATGTAAAACCACAACATTTCTGGAAAAGAAAAAAAGGGGAAATCTTTGGGATATCTAGGGCTAACCAGAATTTTATGTCTTGATGACACTAAAAGCATGATGCATTAAAAGAAAATTTCATTAATCAATGCTTATCGGAACTTTTGCTCTCCACATGTCCCCATTAAGATGTTGAAAAGACACAATATAGACCATGAGAAAATATTTGCAAATCCATGTATCCAAAAAAAGATCTGTATCTAGGATATGTAAGGCATTTTCAAAACTCAACAGCGAAAAATAATCCAAATAGAAAACAGGTAAGCGCCAGAGATGGACATTTCACTAAAAACAATATTCAGATGACAAACACATGAAAAGATGTTCAAAATCAATAGCCATTGCAAAAATGAAAATTAAACCACAAAAGAATGTTACTACATATCTAGGAGTGCCTCAAGTCAAACATGGTGATGCCACCACTGGTTGAGGACACGGAGGACCTGGATCAGTCACACATGTCTAGAAGTGGAAAAAGAGTACTTCACTTTCTCATAGACCTACATATATGATTACTACAGATAACCTTAGAATTGTGCTCTGAACATTTATTTACACTCATGAATTATACACTTATTTGAAGTAAATGAAAACTCATTCATACAAAAGTCTATGCATAAATGTGCATTCCTTCCTAATTTATAATAACCCTACATAGAAAGCAACCCCAATATCCTTCAATGAGCGAATGGATAGGCAAACTGTAACACAGACAGCCACACTGTGGAATACTATTCAGTGTGGGAGAACCTCAAGGTCTGATCCAATTCCATTCTACGGTGCATTCTTGAGAGGACAAAACTATAGAGAAAGGGAGAAGATCAGCAACAGGAAAGTCAGGGAGGGAGAGAAATGCAACTATCGCCATACGACTGGCACAGGGCTCCTGTGATAAAACCGCTGGTACCCTGGACTTTGGAACGGGTCACAGGAATCTGCACGCGGGATACAATAGCACAGAATGAAGCCCACACACACCCAAACCCACGTACAAATGGGTACAAGGAGATCTGAAGATTTGAGTGGATTCAGTTAAGATCAGAAGATTGTTATCTGTGTCAGTTTCTGGGTTGTGGTATTTCTACACTTGATCTTGGCCGAAAGGCTGAGAAGTGATCGGTTATGACAGTATAGTTAAGCAAGACATTACTACTGGGGAAAATGGTGCAGGGTATGGATGTCTGTGTTATTTTTTATAAATGAAAGTAAATATACAATTATCTCAAAATGAAGTTTTAAAAAATGTAAAGGAATGAAAAGCATATAATCCGAATCTAATGATGGAACAGAACTTCAGACAATTTAAAAAACAAAATAACTGACCTTTACTTTTCAAAAATGTCAATGTCACGACTAGTGAGACAGACTGAACACAGCACGTGATCTGCTCCAGTTGATCCTGGTTTTTTTCTCTATCAAGAACATTATTGAGCCAGTTTTGTGCAACTTGATATTTTTATACAACTTGGTATTTTCTCAGATATTCTGTCACAAGGACAGAAAGCTTCTGAGTACAGATTTCTATAGAAACTGTCTAAAAGAAGGACCTAAGAGTCCAACCCAGGATCCTAGAACATCAAACAAACTAAGTATCAAGCCAATGGAACCATCATCTATAAGCCTTCCACTCCAGAGCAGCACACACTGCCTCTACAGGGTCTTCATTCATTCAAACAAAATTTGCTGAGCATTCTTAGAATGAGGTCACAGACGGAATTTCTAAAATGGTTATCGAGAGCTGTCCTCTGTCATTCCTTTACCTCACTCTCACCACCAAATGTGAGCTTAGCTATGACAGAGAACTTACATGGTTCTTGTCCCTGAACAGTTAATACATACGTCAAACTTCACATGGGTAAAAGATTCATGTGGAAAAGAGTGAAGTTTCCTCAATCTCCCCAGCTCCCCTCTCTAGACACAACCAAAGTTACCAGTTTGAAAATGAAACTTTGAGATATTTTTCCAAATTAAGAGAACCATCCAGATTATATCATGGTGTTAAATTATCTCCATAAGTAAAATATTATTAGATACCTATAAATATAATTTTTCCTTTATACATTTAAAATATCCTTAAAATATCTATGTAGATATGTTTTCAACTATTAAAAAACAAACTGAAGGTTACAATTTTCTTTTTAGTGAGGAAAAAAAGTCAGCAAGATGTATGATCACAACACATGTCTATGGTTTATGGCTGGTAGAAGCAATCGCTGTAGGGTACTAATAGCTCACCTGGTTCCTGTCACGTGCATTTGTGTACCTGATCTTCTGAATGAAGTAGAAAATGAGCCATGCTGAAGAAATAATCATCAAAACAATAAAGGATATTGACACGAAGATTAGAGAACTACGGCTGAAGCTCTTTGGCGGTATTCGAGTCCCAACAGCTATTGTCATCTGTACAGAGATGTTTTTCTCCAGATAACTCAAAATATCCTTACCCCTCAATTCTGTTATCATGACAGCAATAATATCTCCAGTGCCTGTAATATAAAATAAATAAATATTCAAATGACATTTAAAATTTGTAGACACATCAAATAAATAAGCAAGCAAACTCTTTAGAAGAACTACCCCAATTTTTGCTAGTGGCAAGGATTGCAGATTCAACTTTTTAATGGAAACAAAGTGAGGTGCGCAGAGCGCATAGTAGCCAATATTCACACTTAAGGCATAAAACAACAGATGTGTCAATCATATTAATTTGTCTTATACCTACATTTAAAGAGCACTATGAAACCAGCCCAGTGTGACAACAGTAACATACAGTCATAGAAATGTGACAAAATCATGAACTTATAGAGCCTTTTCTATCTTAAATGGCCTCTACAAAGTCCTGAGTTTTGTTTTTTTTTGGGTGCTGGGGATCGAACTCATGACTTTGCACTTGGGGGCAGGCGTGGTACCACTGAGCTAAATCCCTGGCCCTGATTTTTTAAGAAAAGCAGGAAAGTGCAGTAATTTATAGTACACACTTGCACTCAGGAACACTAAGGAATTGAGTGGAACTAGTAGAACAGAAAGAAGCACAGGGCGTAGAGCTCTGTCACGTTTATCACCATGGCTCAAGACACACACCTGGTCACACAGCCAAGACAATAAAGGGCCGAATGGTGGGGCATTTTATTAACATTTGAGTAACTTTGGTCTTATCCCTAGCTCTGACTGGGTGAGGCTCCTTTCCCGTTTGCTCCAGAGCTTCTGGGACTCCAATCTTTTTTTGAGACAGGTCCATGCTTCAACATTCTGGATGAGTCTTGCATCAAAAACTTCATGTTCTAGAGCTGTCCAGAGGTCTGCCCAGAGCCACAAACGGTAAGTTAATAAGGCTGGTTTGAAGCTTCCCTTTGAGTAACATGGTCCCTTTCCTTGCATGCTTTCCAGAAGCAGTAATACATTAAAGGCAAGAAACTACCTCCCCTGTGGACAGCATGGCATCACTATCCCTGTCTTCTTCCTCCATCCACAAAGGCAAAGCTTCCCACTTTACTTAAAGGAAGCAGTGAAGCCCCTCTTCCACTGAGCCAGCTGTCATGACTACCCCTTCATAAACTGAAGCTGCCAGTGACAATGTACAAGTTTCATAATATGCCTTCTTCAAAGAGTCTCTAAGACAGAGAAGGCAAACCTTTTAGAGACAGTGCTAACCGCAATCCAAACTCAATTTATTTATTGCAAAGTGCCAACACTGCAATTAAACCTGAATATTGAGGTTTCAGTTTAGAAAAAACAACAACTTTTCATTAACATCTTTTGTCTTTTTTTGTTGTTTTCCCCTTTGGTACCAGGGATTGAACTGAGGACCTTGCACTTGCAAGGCAGGTGCAGTACTGCTGAGGCTAGATGCCTGGCTAATATCTTTTGCCTTAAAAGAAAACACAGTAACTCGTGTGCCATAGGTTTGCCACCACTGCCCTAAGAGAAGCGGGAGGTGAGAAGAAGGGAAACATTTTATTTGGGGAAAGAGAAAATTATAATCACTTATTTGAATCTGAATAAGGTTTGTGCATATAATGTAAACCACTAAACCAAACAAATTGGCAGAAACCCCAAAACTTGAGCTTTCAAAGGTCTCTTCAATGAATATTTAAAATATTTGATTTTATGTTTCATTTATCGTATTTACCTAAAAGGAGCATCCTGATACTACAATTGCAGTTCAAAGACTAAATGCAATAGAAAAGAAATTCAATAATAAAAGTTTTATGAAAAATGTTCCAATGGAACATACATTTGTGCGTTACCTTATTCAAAATTGTTCCAGCCACTTTATCAGAACAGCAGTTTACTAGAACACTGATTAAAAATGCACAAACAAAAAGAAAACTGCATAATTAAAGCAAGCAATAAAGTTAACATCTAATTACCTTTTAGAAATAAGAGTTCTGGTCAGTAAGTTAGAGAAAATAAAAGCTAATGCTTACAGTTAAAATTTCCACTTAGAAACCTTGGGTTTGTGCTTTTATAATGTTGTTCAACAGGCAATGATCTGCGGTATAAGATACCAGGTATGGCTATAAAGTAACTGAGACGGATCCCACAAACGACATATGACAATCAGTCTCATTGCTTTATAATCACACCAGGTACAAATGGCTTTACAAATAATTTCTGAGGCTCCCTCCTGAAGACTCAAGCTGGAAAAGGAGAGGGAAAGCTGTACAGGTAGCCAAGGGAACCAATCCAGGTAATTTCATTCAAAGAATGCTAAATGAACATGTCAACTAATTTCAATAGGAAAGCTGTTTGGGAAAAGAAGTTTAATTATTTCAACCATCCATTCAATGATATTTATTGAGCACATTCTATGATCAAGGCCCCTTTAACTCATTTTATTTTCCTTTCACTTGCTAAAGGGCCTAGAGAATGACCAGCTCTTTGTTGACATAGGCTGAGTTTCAATTGAAAATGTCCCCCAAAAGTCTCACGTCTGGAAGGTAACTGGTAACGGGGTGCCATACTCCTCAGAGGATATCCACTGATAGTACAGAAGCGGAACCTGCACGTGCTATTGGAGGAGGTGGGGCTGGTGGAGGTGCTTACCTGGGGAGTGACCTGGAAGAATGCATTCCTGTTTCTAGCTCCTCCTCTTTTTTGACTGTTGCCTTACCATGGATTGAGCAGCTGTCTTCTGCCATACCCTTCTACCATGCTATTTCTGCCTTGCAGCCAGCTCACTGTGTGAACCCCTCAAAATGTGAACCAATTTGAGCAGCTGTCTTCTGCCATACCCTTCTACCATGCTATTTCTGCCTTGCAGCCAGCTCACTGTGTGAACCCCTCAAAATGTGAACCAAATATACCTTTGCTCTTGTTTTTTTTTTTTGTGGGGGGGGGAGGGCTCTTTGAGACAAGATTCTCACTATGTTCAGACTGGCCTTGAATTCACTATGTAGCCCAGGGACAGGATAATCCTCCTGCTTTAGCTTCCCAAGTACTGGGATTACAGGTGTATGCCACCACATCTGGCTACCTCTCCTCCTTCAAATTGGGGATGTTGGGTATTGTGTCCAACAATGGAAAGTTGATTAATACAACAGGAAAACTGTATCTGCTCTCAGGAGGACAAAGGTAGATCTCAAAGGGATTACAAAGGGAGCCAAATATAGGTATAGCTTTGTCATCCTAGCAGAGGAGTAAACTGGAAAGACAGCAAAGGAGACTAAGACACTTCTGATCCAGCAAAATGAGAAACAATTGCATGAATCATCAGAGTACCAGTGCAGACACTGGGTTCAACTGTGCTGCCCTAAACCCCTTATAGGACCTGATGAAAGTTATTCAGGGGACCACTCCTTAAAGAAAAGCCCTTTCTTCCCTGACACCTAAAACCCACATGGTTTTAAAGACTTTGACTTAAGGATGCCTTAGACATGTGATTTAAAGATCTGGGAGGCCTGGCCCAGCTATTAATGCCAGAGAAAAGTTAACCGTTAGGATAAAACTAAGGTTAGATCAAGCAGTGATTGGTAAGAGGTAAGGATTAATTAGACCATAATGATACAAACCTTCAAGGAGAGAAGATAAACATCTGCAACATTCATCGTACTCCCATGTCCTAAGCCCTTGGCAAATACTGGTAATAAATCATGAATGCAGCCTCAGAATCCCATGTATTTCAACATGTCTGGTAGCCAGAGTTAATGTACCAGAGATGACAATGAAACTAAAAATTGATTTATGATTCTGGCTTTCAAATATTTTCTTAAAAAAACTTTCTCCACTGTTACTGTTTAATGGGAATCCATGCTTCCTTCCACCGCTTCAGTCTGGTTATTTTAGCAAACGATTCCCTTTTTTTCTTTTGTATTTTGGAAAAAATTTTCTTTTCTTTTCTTTTGGAACTGGAGATCAAACTAAGGTTCTTATGCTTACAGGCAGGTGGCGGAACCACTGATCTAAATCCCCGGCTGGAAAATTTTTTCAAACACAATAGTTTCAATACTATGTCAACATTAATGTACATTTTAGATTTGTGAACTTTTTGCCCTTTTTTTATTTTTTATTGAATTAAGAGTAAATTACAACCAAAAGGATATTTCATCTTCCAATACTTCAGCAGTATTTCCTAAGAACAAGGTTATTTTTAACATCTGCAATTCATTTGTGGGTACTCAAGAAATTAACCACTGATATAACTTGGTTTTTAATATACAGGTAGAACCAATATTCAATATCTCTGATAAGTCCTAATAATGCCTTTTTAATTTTATTTCATTAAAATTTTCTTACTAGCACATGTTTGCAGTACATAACGATTACATTTATCATAGGAATTGGTACCTGTACGTAACACATCTTAGTTCTTTTATAACTGCTTTGTTTAGTTTCATATGCAGGACCCAAACAGTGGCTGTGGACGTTATGCTTAAATTGTCATGTCTCACTCCTTCAATCTAAAATAGTTCCTGAGTCACTTTTGGTCCATCGTTTACGATACTGACCTCTCTGAAGTGTCCAGGTCAGATGTTTTAAAAGTGTTCCCTGATGACTAGTCTAGAGTAAACATAGCTGGTAAGAAAGTTAGAGGTGATGCCATATCCTCCCTTCTCAAGATATCACATCAGGAACCACATGGTAGGCTTTACCTCTATTGCTGATAGCAAATTTTGTGACTTGGTTACTCTATCATCTGCCAGATGGCTCCACTGCAACGGACAATGGACGTTTCTCTTTTTAATTAATAAGCAATTGGTGGGTGACACTTAGTTTGTATGAACAGCCAGTTCCTAGATAAGCTTCCACTCAATGCTCACCTGAAACACTACTCTAGTAGTATTTTCAAAACTGTTGATTTTTGTTTTAATTTCTCTACATTTAATAAAATGACTCTGTAACCAGAGGGATTAACAAGAATTTCTACTTATCTTTTTCCTCCATTAAAAACAAAACTCTAGTTGCTGGGGATTTAGCTCAGTGGTTCCATTGCCTGCCTTGCAAGCACAAGGACCCGAGTTCGATCCCCGGTACCAAAAATAAATAA